TAATCAGCGTGAAATAAAAAGAGTTAGCTCAATTTGAGTCGTTTGGATCCATTCCAACTCTAAATCGGCTGAATTTTAAAAAAGTTGACTCAAATTGAGTTATGTGGATTCGTTTGGCTCGTGGCTTATTTTATATCCATCCCAAAATGGAGCTGATTTGTAAGGAATTTGAGCTTATGCATCTTGTTGGGGAGTGAAAAATTGAATTTTTAGATGAAAGACACACTGTTATTCAACTTAATAATGAAGAGGATTACACGCGTTTATTTGCTAGAAGAATTATCTGAATTGATAGCAGAGTAATGAAGATTCTGAAATAGTTTGTGGATTTTGACCCACAGACGGGACCACCAATCATTCCGGTTTGGATTCGCCTCCCCGGTTTGAAATTTCATTATTTCACTCAAAAAGTGTTGTACACTATTGTCTCAGCTTATGGTAAGCCACTTAAAACAGATTTTCCTACTTTTAATCTTTCCTGCCCATCTGAAGTCAGAGTACTTGTTGAAAGAGACATCACTTTATCCGCTTCTGAGGAGAATTGATTGAGCACACAACACAATGGATATTGACAAAAAGTAGTGATTGAGTTTTTTCCTTCTTATTGTTCGAACTGTCGTATGTTCTCAATGCCACCATCTACACCCCCAACTCATACCAAAAAATCAAAGCACTCCGCCAGAGGCAGAGAATCCAACTTCTCTTGTTCAGCCCCAAGTTATTGACACTATTGATAATCAAAAGAATACTCCTGAAGATGTCACTATTCTCGCAGTCAATATGTCAACCATTCAGTCTTCACACATTGTCGTTGTTCCCCCGTCTTTGGAACCCCCTATCGTGGGGGCAAGGGAGATTTATTTAGACTCTATCTGCTCTAGAACCTATCACTCATATTACAGGTGGCAATACCTCTACTGTTTCACTACCGCCTCATCAGGTCGAACAAATGTTAATGTTATTCAGGCTCATGGGCATGATGTCCAATAGCCTACACCTGTCCGACCACCTTTGGAACAATCCATTGATCAGATGAGGAATGACATGTTTATACATCCAGGAGGAAGAAGAAGAATGGAAAACTACTTGAGCTTAGGAATCTGATGGACGATACTTTGGTTACTTTGGGTAATGGTACGCATCTTACCAATCGGTTAGTCGGGTCTTTTCGAAGAACTAGAGGCAAAGGGAGGACTAAAATATATATATATATATATATATATAATTTTTATTAAAAAATACTTCGAGATAGATCAAGTTGATTCATGTATGGCTCGAAATCAGCTAAAAAAATTTTGATCCAAAGTTTTGGCTCATAGATCGACTTGTTTATTTCTTTTTGATCTCGATTCAATCCAAAATTTGAACTAATTTTTGAGCGATTAACGATCTTCGAGTACTCATAGCCCTAGTGGATGTGTAGTAACAGTTTGACAAAATTAAACAGGTCTTGATTGTATGATGTACTGGTTGAGTGATGGTAGCTTAATGGTGGTGGATGAGTGGCGACTGCCCGATGTCAATGGTCAGGCGGCGATAGTCAACGATGGTGTTCGAGTAGTGGTCAATGGTTGATGATAAATTGTAATGCAATACTAAATCAAAACCATTACAAAAAGTTTACAATAAGAAAGCATGTAAGCTCCTACCATCTACAAAAAAATGACCTATCCTCTCATATAATAGAGTAAAGCCCACTAAAAGTGCAAACATGCTTCAAAACAAAATTATTCTGAAGGGCAAGATAGTTGATGCTTGGTTGATCCTTGAAATATGCATTTGCATTAATATATCACAAAGTACAAAAACTATGTGAGTAATCATCTATGATGTACAAAAGTGAGCTCTGTCATCTACAAGTATAGTAGAAAGGTCTCTATCATCATATATATGCATAAAAACAAAAGAATTATCTAAGTCATGTTTGGCACAAAAATGAGAGGCCCTATTACAATCTCTAGAAATATGGAAAAATAAAACTTGCTTTAAGTTGAGGAGAAAAGCAAAGTTTAAAGAAAGTTGTGGTTGTCGTTGCCAAACATCCTTAGACATGGAGGATTGCAAAAGCTTCGTAATATTCTCATTATCCCCTTCAATGAAGATGCCCTTGAGTTTGTATATCTGTGGTTGGCTTATAAGTTGGAGGGAACCATAAGTTCCACTTGAGTAATGTCTCAGTGTTCAAAATGTTGTCCCATAGCAATAATTTCCATACCACGATTGTCTCGAATAATGTTTGGTTGATTCAGGTGGATGGGCGGTAGCCATTTTATGAAAATATTTGGGTAGTGACCCATTGGTGGATTGATAACTACGTGTTGATGATGGTGGTTGAGCATTAGAGACCCATCGGTGAACAACCAATGGTGGATGGACAATAGTCCTTTAACAATGGATACAGCAGTGACAATCTGATGACAATTGTAGAGTAGTATTGCCTTGATGATGATGGATGGGTGACGGTGGGCAACCTGATGATGGTTGTTAGATGAAGGTGGTTTGGTAAAGGTGAAGGATCTTCTAAATCTTTGAGCTCACTCAAGTCTTCAATCCAACTCTTGGTCTAGCTCTCCAATCCCCCGTCATGAAAGAGTTAGGGTCTATTTTTAAAATGTGAGAGTTGTATTCTCCATAAATATTATCAAGATCCAAAATAGCTATCTAAGAACCTGGAGTTATCCTCTCAATTGAGTGTTTTTTTGGATATTTAAGTGCCTTGATAATATGAAAATTAAGCAATATCAGGCTCCTTGGATTTAAAATTTTCCTACTATAATACTAGCTTCTCTTCCAAATTGAAACCATAGCTGGTTTTTTTGTAATAATCATACGTCAATGGTGAATTCCTAAATCAAAATCATAAACCTGTGCAATTTTCCACTCCATCCTATGTAACAAGTCAACTGAAGCATTCCTGTCTCCTTTTGCTTTTAGTGCTCAAAGGTTTCTCGAATTTTGGAAGAGAGAAAAAGAGAGAAAAAGAGTAGATGCCTCCTTCATGATTGCTGTTTATGTAGGATGCCTAAGGACCGAGAGTAGCAAATTTGAATTTTTGCATGGCGGATAATTGAAATTTTATGCTGCAACTGAAATCCTAGTTATAAAAAATAATCCAAATAAGTACTTCTGCTATTAATAAGAGATCACCAAAGATAATGAAGACTTAGCATTAGTACAAGGACAACTTTCCATAGAGTTTGTATTGCAATGCACTGAAAGGAACCCCATATCTTGTATATACATAAGCTTGAAAGAGGAAATTTGAAATTTTATTGAATCAAAATTGTTTTCTTATATGCCTTAAAAGAATTACTTAAAGACTCATCTTTTGGCCATAAGTTTGCTCGAATACAAGAGATAAATAACAAAGTTCTTGAAATGTAAATGTAAATAAAAGCTAATTCAACAAAGGAACAAGTTGAAGAAACATTAGGCTGGAAAAGAAACGACTGGTGGGTGTTTGAATGTATTTGTTGACCTCCATGTCGATTCCATGGCTCAACTCGATCAATCACGATAAAAACGATGGGCATCAAAAGTAAGCATGTAAATCAGAGTCAAAATATGTCATTTGTAGTTGAGATCATCTAAATGCTGCTCTTTTATAGAACATTTTGTGTTGATTTGTTCGGAGCTCCAAAATTATCAAAGAAGGCCTATCTCAGTCAACTTGATAAATCATGATGAAAGATGATGAGTGAAGATCGTGACATTGTGCAAATCAAGTTTGGATTGCCTTGATCATATTTGAAATTGTTCAAATGCCACCCACATTCTGTTGATATGTTCGGAACATAAATAATTGTTAGTGGGTCCTTCTGCTATCTATTCGATCTAGCACAATGAAAACAACGAGCTACAAATGTGATATCATGCAACTTGAAGTAGAAAATGCCGCGATTGTCATCAAAATCGCTCAAACATTATCCATTCATAAAATAGAATGCTCCAACCCATCCATAATATTCAAATTGCTCAGGAACTATTCATGTAGGTCCCTAAACGAATGCAAAATACAAAAATTGCATGTGTACGAGGTGATACACAATCCTAGGCACTTGAATGACAAAATTAATTGGGAAAATTAATCCAAATGTATGCCTTCATTCTGGGGATTACAAGATTTTCTGATGAACTATCGAACAATTTGCTTTATCTTCAATAGAGTCCACTTTTACTTTTTGGACAAGCTATTTGCACTATAAAGGAATTGATGCAACAATCAAGAGCTTCTATGGTTTCTTGCGGTTGACTGCTAACTTGCTCTTCCTGATAAATTTAACAAACATGATAAACAATTTTGTCTAGTTCTTAGCTGCATTCTGATTCACCTAAGAATTAGGTGTTTTATAATTATTCACTTATTTCATTGGATTATGGTATATTTGTGCTCTTTCATTTATCTATATACCTGAGACATTGTAGTGTTTTTATGTCGGTGCTTCTTCTATAAAATGACCCTTTTATGGTCATTTATAATTCAATTTTGATTATGGCATTAAAAGGGCGTATGAATGCTGGGTATTCGAGCTCTCTTTCATGGATTGTGATACTCTGCAGTTGCTCTTCTAATTTTGTGGGAAGAGGTTTCAGTTTCAATTGCCGCTACAGCTTTTCTTTGTTTTCTATTCTAGACGTTTCTTCCTATTTCTGACAAGCATTACCTTTTAATTTAACGAATGATTTCTGTGGAAGGAAAAATTATTTATAATGCGCAAAAATGTCACTTTGTGGTATTTAATGTTTTTTTTTACTTCTGCATTCTCTGATGGATGGCCATCTCAGTCTGTTCATGGTTTTTTGGCTCAAAGCTTTGAATTTTTTCACATTGGCATGCAAAATGAAAAGGATGTTTATATTCGTAGTTGGTGCCATTTATATCTGTATTTTGCATCTTGATGGACCGTGGAATTCACAATACTTTAATCTAGCTATTTACTGGTTTGAACTGAATTATACTGTTTTTATACTAATCAATCGCTCCTCTAATTAATTTGCAGGCTGGAGTTGCCAAGTTGGATGCATCATTGACAATTATAGGCGACAAACTTGAGCTTAAGCTGAATGGCTTTAATGATAAGCTGTCAACCCTTTTATCTAAAATATTGACTATCTCTTGGTCTTTCTCACCAAAAATAGATCGATTCAAGGTATTCTACAAAAAATTTGTCTCTTTTATATTTAATAAATTTCTCATTGTTTAATCACCATACATTTTTGAAGTAATCAGGTTGTCAAAGAGAACATGGAAAGAGCCCTAAAAAATGCCAATATGAAGCCTTTGAGTCATTCTTCATACTTGAGATTACAGGTTCTACGGGAAAAGTTCTGGGACGTAGATGAGAAGCTGGCTTGCCTTGTTAAGCTCTCTCTTTCTGATTTGGAGGCATTTATTCCGATTCTTCTATCTGAGGTATGCAGACAGCAACATGAACAGTATTACCGCACCCCTACCTTTCCAGACTCTACTCTAGGTTCCTGCATTCCGTGCCTGACCATCTGCTGTTTTAAGTTCCTTATTTTCGTACTTTCTATTCCATACCAATTTTACCCACGAAGAATAGTGTAAATATTTATTGGCAGCCCATATTGATATAATGAATCAGATGATTGCAGTGAGAGTTTTTCTTTAGTCAAGAATGCCCACCAGAATTATTTTAGAATCACCCTTATGTTATTTCTCATTAATTTTATATCCTTATCACCCGAACTTGCAGCTACATGTTGAAGGGCTCTGCCATGGAAATTTGTCGGAGGATGAGGCAACCATTATATCAGATATTTTCATTAATACCTTTTCTGTGAAACCTCTTCCTCTAAACTTGTGTAATCACAATCGTGTTCTTTGTCTCTCATCAGAAGAAAATCTGATTAGAAGCATGCCCGTGAAAAATGACGTCGAAGTGAATTCGGTTGTTGAGGTAAGCATGAATTTATCCTCTCTTATGTTTTATGTTATGTTGGTTTTGCATCAAAATTTTCATGCTGAATAAATTTTAAGCCCTCACACAGTTATATATATATGCAAGTAACATTTGTACACATGCCATACATATACACATACACATTCGTATGTGTATATGCATACATATGTTTATATTATTTGAATGCATGCAATGGCGTGTCTGGCAAGTGATGCTGGTCAGAATGCATGACAATGGTTTGGGGCATTGCTAATCACTATGAAAAGTGAGTGATAATGAAAAAGTTAGTCATAAGGATGTACATCAGATAGCGGTGAGTTGCATTGAAGGCATGCACTTGCAATGCCAGTTGCTAGGTGCTTCGGTAGCATTTTGGTTTGATGTCAATGGATTTGTTTTGAGAAAAAGCTCTTCAATTGTGATGTACAAAACCACATTTCTCATAAGAGCATTTTGGATTGTTGATTATTGCTGTTTAAATGTTGTCAACTCTTTTTTGCTTATTATGAAAGGTTGCATTTTGCATTCTATGTGTGTTGACCTCATTTTTGGTGAGGTCTAGTCTTCCTCTTAGGGTTTAGGATCTAGCCTTAGGGACCTCCCTTCGACTATCTTAGAACTTTAGAAATGGAACCCGCCTTGTTCTAGAAATTCAACTCACTTCTGTACCCTTTTGGAGTTTCGTGTGTGTGGTATCGACTTCTAGCACTTAGAAGGGTGAAACCAACATGAGGAAACCCAAACGGGATTCATATAAGACCTTTTGAGCCTTAAGGTGGCCTTCTGCACAATTCGCACTCCCGCGCGCACAAAACTTCACAATTCAGAGAGTCGACACGTCTGATCGCCACAAGTCGCATCGCTTGCACTGTTACCTGTCGAAGGCTCGAATAAACCTTTTGAGGCGATCGATCGCGGATCGAAATTTTGTGAAATTTGAATTTTGACGTGTTTTTGACCCGATTGTCGACGACGTCGTCCGAGCGACCCCGGATGACAAAACAGACTGCAGCGGCACGTCCGGAGCGTCGATTTTGCCTAAGGAGGACACCCATTTTGTTACAACGCCGCGCGTGAGTAAATTGCATATAATTTAATATATATATATATAT